GAGGGACCCTGGACCAGTCCAGAGGACGCGGCCTGAGGTCCCCTGTCAAGCCCCTCCAGGTGGGGGGCACAGCCTCAGTCCCCCAACCTGGCGCTGGGGTGGGGTGTGCGGCCGGAGGTTCCTCGGGCCAGGGCGGGGGGGGCACGCCTTGAGGTCCTCCGTCAAGCCCCACATGCCAGGGGGCACAGCCTCAGGTCCCTTGGCCTGGTGCTGGGGCAGGGGCGCATGCTCAGGTCCTCAGTCTGGGGCGCGGGTTGCAGCCTCAGCCCAGAACCGGGGCCAGGGTGGCTGCGCCCTGAGTTCCCCCATCAAGCCCTGCCAGGTGAGGGGCGCGGCCTCAGATCTCCTGGCCCAGAGCTGGGGCGGGGGTGTGTGGCCTGAAGTCCCCCAGCCTGGCACCGGGGCAAGGGGAGCAGCCTGAGGTCCCCTGTCAAGCCCCACCAGGCAGGGGACACAGCCTCAGGTCCTTGCTGATTGCTCGTTAAGGCTCATTATGGGAACTCGGCCTCCACTGTGTGTGCAGCCATCTTGGGTTACTGAATCCCTGCCTCCCCTGTGGGCGCAGCCATCTTGACCATAATGGCATGACAGTCAATTGGCATATTGCTTCTTTATTAGATAAGATATCACATTTTCCTTATATTTGTCTTTTTATCCTTTTAGTCTCAAAAGCGTTTTTTCCCAAATATAGTTTTTCTGTGTAGTCTGTATCATGATTTTGCTTTCAAATCATTGTTCTATCTGATACAAAAAGCTCTTTATTTTTGAGAATCGTGGAATTTTTAGTATGCTATGAGCTACAGTGGGGCCTTGACTTACGAGTGTCCTGACTAACGAGTTTTTCGAGATAAGAGCTGTCTCTCGGCCAATTTTTTGCTTTGAGTTGCAAGCTAAAATTCCGGTTACGAGCCAGCTTCAGATACCACAGCGCTAGTTGGCGCAGTGAACGTCACAGTGAACGCCACAACATCAGCCCAGCATTCAATTCATCATGATGGTGAAAATTGATTTGACATACGAGTAATTTGAGTTACGAGCTCCGTCATGGAACAAATTAAACTCGTAAGTCAAGGCCCCACTGTAATTACCTTTCTTTTTTTTAAAGTAGAGCTAAATGGTTTTGTTTTTTTAGTTTTTTTTTCTTTATTGATTAAGGTATTACATATGGGTTCTTATCCTCCCATTGTCCCCCCACCCCACCCCACTCATGCTCTCACCCCCCTGGTGTCTGTGTCCATTGGTTAGGCTTATATGCATGCATACAAGTCCTTTGGTTGATCTCTCCCCCTCTCCGCCCTCCCCTACCTTCCCTCTGAGGTTTGACAGTCTGATCGATGCTTCTCTGTCTCTGGATCTGTTTTTGTTCATCAGTTTATGTTGTTCATTATATTCCACAAATGAGTGAGATCATGTGGTATTTATCTTTCTCTGACAGGCTTATTTCGCTTTGCATAATGCTCTCCAGTTCCATCCATGCTGTTGCAAATGGTAAGAATGCCTTCGTTTTTACAGCAGCATAGTATTCCATCGTGTAGATGTACCACAGTTTTCTAATCCACTCATCTGCTGATGGGCACTTAGGCTGTTTCCAAATCTTAGCTATGGTAAATTATGCTTCTATGAACATAGGGGTGCATATATTCTTTCTGATCAGTGTTTCTAGTTTCTTGGGATATATTCCTAGAAATGGAATTACTGGGTCAAATGGGAGTTCCATTTTTAGGTTTTTAGAGGAAATTCCATACTGTTCTCCACAGTGGCTGCACCAATCTGCATTCCCACCAGCAGTGCACAGGGGTTCCTTTTTCTTCACATCCTCGCCAGCACTTGTCATTTGTTGATTTTTTGATGATAGCCATTCTGACAGGTGTGAGATGGGACTGCATTGTCATTTTGATTTGCATCTCTTGGATGATTAGTGACTTTGAGCATGTTTTCATATGTCTAATTACCTTTCCCTATTAAATTTACTGATGACTTTGACACCTGAGTTTTAGTCTTCCATCTTTACTCTAAACCCTGACCATTATTCATGATTCACTTTAGTTTGCTTTTTTGTTTTTTTAAGGATGAACCCATCAAGTCATCTACTGACCTTCAACTTTCTCTGCTGCCGAAACTATCTGTTATGCCTTTTCTTTAAAAAAAAATTTAGCAAGGTTTATTAACATATAATTTACAGAATACAGTTCTATGAGTTTTAACACACAAACAGTTGGATAACCAACTTCTCAATAAACAAGATATAAAACAGTTCCATTATCCCTAAAAGTTGTTTTGTGATTCTTCATAGTTATTTCCTTACCTAGGTAACATGGCACTAGCAACCATTGGTCTGCTCTGACTCCATAGTTTTGCTATTCCCAGAGAATAAATAAGTGAAATCATAAAGTATATGCTTTTGAGTCTGGTTTTTTTCATTTAACAATATGCATTTGATATATATCCATGTTGTTGCATGTATCAGTAGTTTGTTCCTTTGGCTATGTAGTATTCCATTGTACCAGTTTGTTTTTTTCATTCAGTGGTTGAAGGACATTGGATTGTTTCCAGTTTGAAGTAAATGTGACTGAAACTCTATGAATACTTGTGTATAGGTGTTTGTGTAAGTGTAGTTTCCATTTCTGTTTGGTAAATATTTAGGAGTGGGATTGTTTGATCGTGTGGTAGTGCATGTTTAAATTACTAGAAATTGTCAAACTTTTCTAAAATGGTTGTGTCATTTTGCATTCCACCAGCAATTTATGAGAAATGCAATTTAGTAAACTTATATAAGGTGAGGCTATATATTTTGTTCAATATACAATAGAATGACATCTTAAAATAGTTTGTTTGCATTGTTAATTTTTGGAGTCCATTGATCACAGCAAAATAGAATTAGATTATCTTAGTAAAAGAAAGAGATTTGGGGCTTGTTCGCTCTGAGGTTTTACCCAGTAGGAAAGTCTTTTCGATAGTGTTCTTGAAAGCGCTCTCTGGTTCTAGTTCATTCACTTTTCTGCCTGAAATGTCCACTCATGAGAACTAGTACTGAATCATTTCACAAAGATTTTATTAAGTGCATATTTCCTAAATTCCATGATAACTACTTTGTCAAATCTAAGACATCATAAGTTACTAGGGGTCCAGTGCACAAGTTCATGCACCTGAAAGGAACTGTGGACCATGAGGCTGTGGTAGGCACAGGGGCGGGTCTCAGCCCATTCTCTGCACCCCCACCCGGCCCCTCCTGCCGTGGCCCCTGGTCACCTGTCTGCCCACAGCCCCACTCCCACACGCTGATGGCACTGGCCCTGGTCATACCTTCTGAAGGCACTAAGCAGTTGGGGCCGGTGCCAGCAGCAGGTGCAAATGACAGCTGCTGGCCTGATCACCCCTCAGGAGCAGGGGGAGGTGGAGAAGCCCTGAGGGACGATTGGTGCCAGCAGCTGCCACTCACTCCTGCTGATGGCACCGAGCGATCGGGACCTGCGCTGGGCGCTGGCAGTGGTTGTGAGCGACAGCTCTGGCGCCAATAGTGGGTACAAGCGCCGGGCAGGACCACGGAGCACGGGAGTAAAGAATTTTCAGTAACCACCAGAGGCTCGCCCTCTGCCTTGGTCTGGCGCCCCTACTGACCTGCTCCACCATCCTGCCGCAGCTGACAGCCACATGTTCTGCACACACCCCCTGGTGTCATAGGGACCGGTTGTTCCGCCATTTGGTCTATTTGCATATTAGCCTTTTATTATATAGGATAAGATGCATCATTTCTTCATGTTCTATGTGAAAAAATGTTACTTTTTTTTTTTTACTATGATACATCTACTTGAATATGCATCTTGATTATAGAGATGTTAACATGTCTTTTTAAAGCATGATTTATGGAACATTTCTAGAGTAGTATTTCTGCATTTTTACAATTTAGGAATATCACTGAGAAAATATCCTTTATCTTTCGTTTTTCAGATCTATCATTCTACCTTTAATATTTTCCCTCCCTAATTTAAGCATTCTTTAAGTAGTTCCTTTTCTTAATTTCCCAGTTATTTTGCCATTCTGGTCATTTTCCTTTGGATGCCTTGTAGTTTATCAAAAAACTGCTTAAAATTTAATATAATACAGATTTCAAAAAGAAAATTGCAAAAATCTTAAAATTAGTATATCCAGAAAGTAGGACACTATGTAAGTTCGTGAATGAGGTTTTTAACTTGACAAGATTTTCAATAATTTTTTAAAATACTCCATACCCATGAATAAATTATTGTCATGATTTTTACAAGTAGGTTAACATTTTATACCTCATATATTTTTTTAATCCTCACCGGAGGATATGTTTGTTGATTTTAGAGAGGGGAAAGGGGAGGGGAGGAAACAGAGGGGGAAACATCGATGTGAAAGAGAAACATCACTTGATTGCCTCCCGTAGGCGCCCCTACAGGGATCAAACCCACAGCCTAGTTATGTGTCCCAACCTGGAATTGAACTGCAGCCTTTTTGGTGCCCTGGACGATGTTCCAACCAACTGAGCCACCTGGCCGGGGCCATCATACTTTTCATAGCAAGAATTTCTCCCCACTGGCACTCATTTACTCATTTTGGTAATTGAGGTTCAAGATGCTACTTTTTATAAGCTAACATATGTTGTTAACAAATATAAACAGAATTATACATCTTTTCTAGTTATTCTTCTCCTCTCTACAAAATGATTACAAAAGAAATCTGCCCGTAATAATTTAACCTGGGAATATTTCTAAATGACAAAAATGTTTACCTGTTTTAGTAGTGAACATTTACATTTGAATATTTCTTTATAATCATGTAATTTCTGATAGTTATTATATGACTGTTTATTATGTTATGTATTTCCTAGTTCAAATTAAGTCAACTAAAGGAAAAATGACACCTTATAGTATGTTAAGTTTATAATTTGCTGATTCCTATAGAGTTTATGGTTTTTTGTTATTGTAAAATTAAGCTTTCTTTCATAGTTAATATTCTTTCTTTCTTTAATAATACAGGTTTTGAGAGTATTTTAGAAGGGCTTTATGGACCACGGCTACGAAGACACCTCAGTTTATTTGAAGGTAACATTTTATTTCAAAATTTTAACCTTCTGTCCCATTTAACAAATGAGAAATGGTTGTTCTACACTAACTTTATACTAAACATGAATTTGTGTTATTGTTTAATTAAAAATATTTTAAATGAATACATAAAGTGATCCAAATATTCCTATTATTACATGATGTTATAATCTTTAAAAAATTTAGATACTGATTCAAAATTGTAAATGAAGTTTGTTTTGGCTCAGTGGTAAAATTTGATTTTTGTCATTTTATCCTTTACATTCCCTGACTTCTTCTTAAAGAGGACTTAAAAGGGTTCAGGTGCCTGTTGCTTATGATACAGGCATTCTAGAACTCAGATTGTCACTCTGAGAAATCCTGCCATATGTGTTCAGAGTTTTCTATTTATGTGTAGCCTCCTCTATTTATTATAACCCACCCTTCCAAATGTTGTTGCATAAATCCTGGTATAAGATTTTGATCTGTATTATAATTGCTGTGGTAGCATAGTTTAGCTGTTTTACTGCTTGCTTGGAAACCTAGAGCACTAGGAGAGAACATTTTTGTAGGCATGTGAAAGTTTATAGTACAGTTCATTTACAAAATGGGTAATGCTAGAATAGATTTTCTAGTTTGATTTTGATTGGATTATTTCTGTATCTTGTCACTTTTCAATGCTAACTCTTTTACCTTCTGCCCTACTCTGGTACCTTCCTTTCTATTAAGACCAAAGTCCTATCTAGTAGACTTAAAGGCCCTTCTCTCTGTGTATGTAAGTCTTTTGAGTTGAGGTAGTTACAGTGATAGTTGGTGTAGTCAGAAGTTTTCTGCTCATTCTTTGATAATGTTGAGGAGGATGATTGAGCTATGAATCATAGAGCTGACAGTGTTTATGCAAGATCATTTGTCCCAACCACCCATCTTCAATCAGATGAATGATATCCATGCAGAACATGACGATAAGGATCAAGATTCCAAAATATTCCCATTCCAATATTTTATCATTCTTATGGCTAAGATCTTTATCTTCTCTTTTAAACTTTCAACATCTCTCACTGTGTCATAGGTTAACACTAAATTAAATATTTTTACCTGTTATAAGCAAAACTGACTGTAGTTTCGCCTTTTTTTCTGAGCTTATAAATAAAGGAAAAATCTAAGAAATAAGAGTTTAACCTATGCTTGGTATTTCTTCAGCCTGCTGTTTTTCATTCATGTCAGAAGGCAGCATTATACTTAATTGCTTTCTGATAACCCAAAGTCCAGCTTGTAATTTTTAGCCTCTTGCTTTCATTTATTTACATATATCGTTCTGAATATATGTATGAATTTATGTTCCTTCAGAAATTAGTTATTATACAAAGGGCAGAATGTTCTAAGGAAATAAATACATGTATTTTATTTTTTGACGGTTATTTCTTTTGTGTACAAATAACACATGTTCATTTTAGGAAATTAGAAAATATAAATGAGCCCAAAAGTAAAAAATTAGTCCATGACCCACAGATAACCTTTAACATTTTTATTTTTTTATTTATTTTTTTTTTTTTTAAATATATTTTATTGATTTTTTACAGAGAGGAAGGGAGAGAGATAGAGAGTTAGAAACATCGATGAGAGAGAAACATCGATCAGCTGCCTCCTGCACACCCCCTATTGGGGATGTGCCCGCAACCCAGGTACATGCCCTTGACCGGAATCGAACCTGGGACCTTTCAGTCCGCAGGCCGACGCTCTATCCACTGAGCCAAACCGGTTTTGGCAACATTTTTATAATTAAGTTTAAAATATGTTTGTATGTATTTATTGTTTTATTAAAGTAGTATATACTGTCCATATAGTATATAGTTTTTGTACCTACTATGTTTGTTCACTAGTATATCATTTGGGTATATAAAGTTCTTGGTCATTATTCTAAATGGCTGCACAATATTACATTGTGGATCTATTATGACAAATTTAACTAATTAATTGATTTCATACCCTACTGCTGTATATCTTATTCCATTTATTTTTTAATTACAATAGATTTTGTACTTTATTTCCATTTCTGTGCCTTTTTTTTTTCCCCCTTGGTAGGGTATTTATACAATTAGCTAAGCTTTGGAGCTCAATCTTTTTCTCTTATATAGGCACATAATTTCATTGCCCTTTCTCATCCCTAATGTTCTCGCTTTTTTCCAAATTTCATAGGAAAATTCTCTTTCCTTGCTTTTTTTTTTTTAATTAAAAAGACTTTTAATTAGTTGTTGCTTAAGTATGATTGCACTAATCCTATGTAATAAAAGCCTAATATGCAAATTGTCCCATCGGGCAGTCGTTCCATGGGGAGTTCGACCACTCAATATGACATATGCTGACCACCAGGGGGCGGTGCAGAACATGGTGGGCTTTGGCAACGAGGTGCTGGCAGCAGGCGTTCAGGTGCCAGGTGCCTGTGAGGATCCCGCCCCACACCTGCACAGCCTCCTGTGGGTGAGCCAGGCCGCAGCTGCTGGGACTGCAGGGGCCGATCGGGCTCCCCATGGGTTTGTGCAGGAGCCGGTCTGCAAAGCTGGCCAGGAGAGAGTGCGCTGCCCGCCTGGCTTTTGTATAGCGCTGCTGGGCGGCCCCAAGGCCCACACTGCGCCCCGGCCCACGGCCCTGGCCACGCTCACCTCATCTCCGCATGGGAACTTGGGCACCGTGACTCAGGTGGAGGGGGGCGCGCGGGGCTCAGGGGTTGCCCAGGGCCCAGAGGTCAGCTGTGACCTGCCCTTCCATGCCAGACACTTGCTCTTCGAATGCCAGCCAGGCCTAGGGACCGTACCCGTGCATGAATTTCGTTATTGTAATAAATCTGTATCTGTGTAAGGATGAAGACAGCTATGTTTTTAAGGAAAATTAAACCATATTATCAAAGTGTAGAGCCTTTTGAAAAGCCATGTAGAAGCTATCTATTACAGCTCCAACTTCTTATCCTCTTTTAAATAAGTGTGCTTTCTTTGTTGTTACCATTGTTAAAAATGGTTTCATTTTTAGATGCTAGGACTACAAGTATAGGTATTTCTCACTATACATATCTGTACGCAGGAATCATATAGATTAGTGTATGTTTCTAAATCACTGGACATCTGAACCCTTCTTACTTCAAAACTCAGGAACCAAGTAAACTGGATAGCAAAGGATTCTTGTATATTACTCTAAATTTTTTATAAAATTAAATGCATATTATTTAAATTTTATAATACATTTAGGTTAATTGAACCACATCACAAACCTGCATGGGGAGCGTCTGCATTGATGCTCCCTGGTGCTGGGGCAGGGGCGCAGCTGGGTTCTGGGAGAAAGGCGGGCTATTAAAAAAATACTCTAAATTTCATACTGCTACCTTAAAAATCAACTTTGGCAAACAGTGTGTTTTAATACTTTTGTATCATATACTAGTGTTTTGAGAGATTTATATTTTAATTTGATTCAGATCCACCTTCAGATTAAATGGCTTTGAAAAAAGCTTTTGAATACTGCTAATTTTTAATTTGTTGGAAACAAAATAGCTTTCTCTGTTCTTTGATCTGTTGTCATGACTTTTTGTCCTTTTGAGGAAAACATAACAATTACTTTTTTTTTTTTTTTTGGAGTAAAGTCTCCAAAGAAACTTCGAATGTCGTAAACTTCCCAATTTTATGTACTCCTAGAAAAGTTCTCTGTATTCTGCCTTCTTTCTCCATCTCCTCAAAAGTCACTTTTCCTGCTGTCACAGGAATTTTAGTCAATTCTTTTTCATATCTTATTGATGGGCCAGCTTATTTCATCCATGGGATCATCTGATTTAATTGCCTGACTATGGATATTTTACAAAAATATTAAGACTGCGGTAGGCTTATGTAAATTGGCTATTAAGATCCTTACTGTGTTTTTTTGTGTGTGTTTTTCTATGTGTCCACATTTCAAAGGGTGATTATATCAGCCATCTGCAAGTTATAGCATGTGGGCCAAATCAAGCTCTTTGACTGTTTTTGGAAGACCTGTGAGCTAAGAATGGGTTTTACATTTTTAAATAGTTGAAAAAAATCTAAAGATTAATATTTTACAAGGCGAAAATTATAAAATGTTCAAATTTAATTATCCAATTAATAATATTTTATTTGTTGACTGCTTTTGTACTACAACAGTAGAGCTGAATGGTTGTGACTGCATGGCCTGCAAAACCTAAGATATTTTCTATCTCGTGGTTTATAGAAAAGGTTTGCTGACCCCTGGCTTATACTACTACTGAAATTTAATCTTTTGGCTTAATATTTTTTTTCCAAGTGTTAACACTATGATTATGGAGACATCAAAACTAACTTTTAATAAAATTTATTGAGTGGACTATTTGAAATGCTTAATTTGTATTAGGAACTGTGATTAGCAATGAGGAAAGAAGAATAAATAGGATCTCTTTCTACTAGGAACTCATGGCCTAGTATTGTCAAAATTTGGTAGTTTGCTAATATGAATTGAGAATCTAATACTATTTTAAAATTATTTATATAAATTATATTATTAGCTCCGATCAATGTGTACAGAAAGATGTCTCCCAATGTATTCATCATGGTGTTTATAATGCCAAGATTAGAGAAGCAAGCTTAATCAGCCAAAAATAGGATGTTGAGTTAAATAAGTTAAATGCATCTCTTTAATGAACTGTATTTATCTTTTAAAAATGATATAGAAGTATATTTGAGATGGAAAATATTTGTGATAAATAAGCATGTGTATAATATGATTCTAATTTTAAAATAAATAGTATTTTTGAGAGCAGTTTTAAATTTACAGAAAAATCTAGTAGAAAGTATGAGGAGTTCCCATAGACTCCCTCTTCCCTTTTGTCTTAGGTACCCCCATATTAACATCTTTCATTAGTGGTACATTTGTTATAATTGATGAACTAATATTGATGCATTAACTAAAGCCTCCATAATTTTTACTAGGTTACTCTGTGTGTGTTGTACATTTGTGTGGGTTTTGCCAAATATACAATGTCATGTATTCAC